CTTAGTGTTTTGTTAATTTGTAGCAATCCCGTGTACCTTTTCCCTTAGAATAAAGTATTTTTAAAAAGCAAAGAAATCTCTTCTTTCCAATAGAGCAAGATCCATCAAATAGTCTGAGTATTAAACAATTATTGACTATTTTACAACACTGGGCACCTCCCCCGCCCTGCCAATTGCAGGGGGAGGGCCAGAAAGACGCCCCCTACTCCAGCTCCCACTCCTAGGGTGCTAGTCGGGCTCTCCCGTCGAAACGGGAGGCTCGAATGAGACGAAAGAGGTTCAAGCGGGGACGGAGCACTCAAGGCTCCCACCCACTCGTCGATGCGCCGTCGCTCCCTCCCCTATTAAGCCTCTATTAAAGGGGCAATCTCTTCTTCTTCTTCTTCTTCTTCTTCTTCTGTAGTGGTGTAGTGGCGAAGTGCCCGGACTCTAATCTGGAAGAACCGGGTTTGATTCCACACTCCTCTACTTGCACCTTGGACAAGCCATAGTTCTGATAACAGCCATAGTTCTGATAACAGCTGTCCTTGAAAAAGAGCAGTTTCTGTCAGAGGTCTCTCAGCCCCACCTACCTCCCAGGGTGTCTGTTGTGCGGAGGGGGAGGGGAAGGAGTTTGTAAGCCGCTCTGAGACACCTTTGGGTAGTGAAGGGCGGGGTGTAAATCCAATCTCCTCTCCTCCTCCTCCTAAGATCTCCCAGAATAACAACTGATTTCCAGGCTACGCAAATCAGTTCCCTTGGAGAAAATGGCTGTCTGGGAGGGTGGACTCTATGGCGCTATACCCAGCTGAGTTCCCTCCCCTCCCCCAATCCCACGCCTCCCAGTCTCCACACTGAAACCTCCAGAAATTTCCCAAGTCAGAATTGGCAACCCTACTCTACCTTGTGGGCGTGTGTTTGTGTGTGTGGCATTTGGGGAGGTTTTGCTGCTTTCCCTGTTTGATACAGGGGGCAGCCATTTTACTGCTAGATACAGCAACCTTGACTCTTCATAGAGGACGGATGGAAACTGTAGATTGCGAGCAATTCTTGGCACGCTCACAAAGCAGCAGTTCCCAGATTCCTTTGATTTCAAACCAGATCTGTGACAGGCAGAAATCTCACTGAGGCCCCGGTCACACGGAGAATTTGCTGCGCGAAAGGCACCAATGTCGGGTGGATTTTCGGGGCGCGATCACACCACAACATCTGGGAAGTGTAGCATACCCGTAGCCAACCTGTGGCATCCTGCCGAAGATGCGGAGTTTAAAAGTACCAAGGAAAGTGCACAGCACGGGTGGGGCGTCTGATCGTGGGAGCGCTAGTATCCCGTGGCATCCGGCGGACTTCCACGTCCCGTCGCAAACCAGATGTTTTTCGTAAGCACATGCGCACAAACACGAAACTGAAAGCAGTGCTGCTTCGCAGAACTGTGCATGCGCACAATCACGAAACGCTTGTGTGGCCGCGCCGCTTCTTTGCCACGCTGCAGTATCGCTATGTGATTGCCAGCTAACAGCTGAAGCACGGAGACTTGGGGAACCATGTGATCAGACTACCGCACTTTATTTTGCTCCGGGGCGAACAGCCACGCCTTCCCCCCCACGTTATCTGGCCCGTGTGACCGGGGCCAGGGATCGTTTTCTCCAGCAAAGGAATTGTAACAATCTGTCTCATGCCTTTGTTAAGGGAACAAAAGTGATACTCTGTGATGTGGGTTCAGAGCAAGGGGCATGTCATAGAAAAACAGGTGCAGGAGCTCATTAGCATAACTTATTTGCATATGCCACACCCCCTGACATCATCGGACGTGTGTCAGAAGGCAACACCCACCGCTCAGGCTCCACTGGACTGTTTTGGATTGCTAGCTATTGGGGGGGGGGAAATGTGCAGATCTGTCCTCGCAGAGGAGGGGGAGCTTGTACCTGAATAAAACTTGGTCTTAAAGGTGCCACTGGACTGTTTTGGGCCAGGGGGCTGGGGGGAGCTCTGCAACTTACCTGGCTGCTTCTTGCTCTGACTGAGGGCTGCTGGGAGCGGGGGGTGGGGCTTGTGGCATGTGCCCGCCCCCTGGGCTCTTTACTGCCGGAGCTCCGCTCCTGTGCGCTCCTGCAGGAAATGACCCCTGGTTCAGAGCACAAAATAACTGGAATGATTCCCACTGTTAGAAGCCACGGCCGAGGCACTGACATATTCCTTCCTCCTTTCTCCCTTCGCAGGTCTTGATCCCTTGGAGTCGGCGCCTGTGGTGGTGACCCTGAAAAATGGGCATTAAAGCGGCTCTACCCAGTTGTGAACTGGGCCTGTATGCCCTCGTGGTGCTGTGCGCCATCGTCTACAGCGGCCACGACATCTTTGAAACCTCTCGAGGTAACTGAACTAGAAGCAGGGTTGCCAGCTCCGGGGTGGGAAATACCTTGAGCTGTTGGGGGGCGGAGCTGGAGGAGGGCGGGGTTTGGGGAGGGGAGGGACTTCAGTGAACTATAAAGTCATAGAGACCGCCTTCCAAAGCAGCCGCTTTCTCCCGGTGAACTGATCTCTGTCGCCTGGAGATTCGTTGTAATCCCGGGAGATCTCCAGCCACCACCTGGAGGTTGGCAACTCTAATTAGAAGGGAGTGCGCTTTGAGTGGGTCAGGGCCAGAATGGAGACAGGGTCATCCCCGTTCCCCCCCTCCTGGATAGTTCTACTAATGTAGAGAGCCAGTTTGGTGTAGTGTGGTTAAGTACGCAGACTCTGATCTGGGAGAACCGGGTTTGATTCCCCACTCCTCCACTTGCACCTGGCTGGATGACCTTGGGCAAGCCATAGTTCTGACAAGAGCTGTCCTTGAAAGGCCAGTTCTTGAAAGAGCTCTCTCAGCCCCACCGACCTCACAGGGTGCCTGTTGTGGGGAGAGGAAGGGAAAGGAGTTTGTAAGCTGCTCTGAGACTCCAAGTGAAGGGCAGGGTATAAATCCATTCTCCTCCTCCAGTTTGGTGCAGTGGTGAAGTGCGCGGACTCTAATCTGGGAGAACCGGGCTTTATTCCCACTCATCCACATGCAGCTGCTGGATGACCTTGGGCAAGCCATGGTTCTGTCAGAGCAGCTCTCTCAAGGGCAGTCCTCGAGTAGGGTTGCCAACCCCCCCGGTTTGCCAGGGGTCCCCCGTTTTTTGGGGGGTTCTACCCGCTGCCGGACAGATGGCCGGCGGGGGAAGCCCCACCCCCAACACCCACAGCCAACCATCTCTCTCCCTTTAAGTGTGTGGAACCCGTGTTTCCTCCCAAGCCCGATCTCCGCAAGCTTGCAGGGAAATGCCAGCTTCGTGCTCTCAAAAGGGAAACGCGGCTGCTCTTAAAGGGGAAACGACGGCTCCTGCATTTAAAAGGGAAACGCCAGCTCCCTTAAGTGCAGGGAACTGCTGTTTCTGGAGATCCGGCGCACGGGCGGGGGGGGGGCGGCAGATGTCCCCAACGGGACGTCATCACGTCGGGGATGCCCCGCCCCCTCCAGGAACGCCCCCAAATTCCCCCGCTGGTGGTGGAAGGTGGACTTGGCAACCCTATCCTCGAGAGAGCTCTCTGAGCCCCGCCTACCTCACAGGGTGTCTGTTGTGGGAAGGGGAAGGGTTTGTAAGCCGCTCTGAGACTCCAAGTGAAGGGCGGGGTAGAAATCCAATTTTCTTCTTCTTCTAATGTAGTCCATTGCAGAGAAAACTCTCTGGATTTTACAGTGTTTTAAATAAGCCACAGTTTGGGCTGACAGTTTCAGACAGTAGCTGGGTTGCTCTGCAAGAGAACAGCTAGATTATTCGAGTCTAGTATTACCTGAAAAACTAACAATAATTTTTTGGGGGTGTCATATGAGCTTTCAAGTATCTGGCAAAGGGAGTTTTCATATCCCCCAAATTCTTGGTATAAGCATTCGTGTGCATGCACACTTCTTCAGATACATTGAAGGAGACTTCCACAACCTTTACATATAGGCAGGCGGGGGGTCAGTTGCCAGGAATGGCTAATTGGAGTCAAGATGCATAACTGGGCGATAAGCAGAGGTCATTTCCTATGGGAGCGCACAGGAGCAAAGCTCCGGCAGTAAGGAGCCCAGGGAGCGGGCACATGCAACAAGCCCCGCCTCCTGCTCCCAGCAGCCCTCAATCAGAGCAAGAAGCAGCCAGGAAAGTTGCACAGCCCCCCCCCCGGTCCACCTTCAGGTACAAGCTCTGCCTCCTCTGTGAGGGCAGATCTGTGCATCCCCCCCCCCC